ATTTGGCGCTCGAAGTATCCCTTAAAGAATAGCTTACATTCTCTTGTGAATATTTGCTATGACAACGAATAACGGTTATCAATAGACAGGAGCTTTCTTACCTAAAAATACAACCTTAAAATTATAACTAGATTGCGTTAGGTCACTACTTTGTCCATCCCTTGTTCGATGCTACTAAATACTGGCACTTTATAAAATAAACCATCAGTTTATCGGCTAAATTCAATGTAAATAATTTAAATGCAAAACATTTCTTAGCGGACTTTGGCTACTTTGAGCGTATCTATCTATCTATCTATCTATCTATCTATCTATCTATCTATCTATCTATCTATCTATCTATCTATCTATCTATCTATCTATCTATCTATCTATCTATCTATCTATCTATCTATCTATCTATCTATCTATCTATCTATCTATCTATCTATCTATCTATCTATCTATCTATCTATCTATCTATCTATCTATCTATCTATCTAGATGCTTACATTTTGTTGCTCTTGGGGTTACTCCTTTAACCTGGCGTGAACCAAAATTAGCATGGGATGATGATATGTGGGGTTTATTGTCCCAAAGCCACCACATAATTATGAGAGATGCCGTAGTGAAGAGCTCTGGAAATTTAGGCCATTCCGGCTTCTTTAGCATGCACACCAATCTGAGCACATGGCCCTACAGCATTTTCGCTTCCATCGAAAATGCAGCCACCACAGCTGGGATTCAGTCCCGCGACCTGCGGGTCAGCAGATGAGTAACTTAGCCACTAAAACGCCCTGGTGTTGCAATTAGCATGGGAGGGTAAGATGGCTTGAGGAAAATGACACGCTGGTCAAGACATGAATGGTGTTGACAATCCCGTCGCTTACGTCGTTGAACTCTTCCCGCCAGACAGTGGCACATACCCACGGGTGGGTATGTGCCGCTGGTATGCTGATATGTGTCACAGATGATTGACACTTAGTATCTATCTAGGAACGACGAGAACACACATGGGTTACTCAAACGCGCGAGCGTAAGAAATACCCGACATCAGTAGCGTCAACCCGACGAACGCAAAGAGCAAATGTTAGGGACCCAGCTGCAATCCAACCCAAGCATTCTGCGTGAGAATGAACCATTTCACCACAGAGCTAAGCCAGGTTTTGGAACTACTTTTCAAATAGACTCTATTCTTCGTGAAACGTCAATAGCTGTTGCAGGGCTGCCTACCCAATTTCATAAACATCTCATATGTACTCTTTCAATACAGCCGTCACGTTGTGTTAACGTCAATTATAGTTAGTTGCCATGTTCTGATGTTGATTTATGTAGCAGTGTCCCAGGCCAGCATCTTCGCGAGCATCTGAAGTTGATTTATGTAGAAGTGTCCAAGACCAGCATCTTCGCGAGCATCAGCGCTTCATATCAGCTCCTGGTGTTGATACGTTTTCCAGGTACCAGGGATCTGCCTAACTGTTTTTGGCGTTAGTCAGTCAGCATCGCTAATATATCACGAGTCAGAATTCACACAATCACTCCGGACAAATTTATTTTGTGGAAAATTTTATTAGTATACCAATACAGCGCAGAAAGCAACGATGAAATTGAAACTATGGCGCTGTATTCATTAAATACTTTAGCTGCTGATTGTGTAGCGCTAAAGTCCCAAGATTTTTTCACACAGCGAAATAAAAAAAGTTTATGAATAGATATAAATCCGAAATTTATATTTTCGACTTTTCGCTTAATATACGAAAACTTTTATATAAAGCAACGTCTCATATACTACGTGGCTAATTTGTTGTCTGTGTGTGCAGAACGCACGTGCTGTGGTTAGGCGAAAGCAATGCATTTGCTTCACTGGTGTAACATATTGTTACCCTGTAAAAAACGCAAAAAAGGTTAGCAAGGCGTGTTGCTGAGTTAGTTGTTTCGTTACTTTAGGAAACTAGGTACGAAGTGAAAACACTAGGGACCAAGTCAAGACAAGTATTTTTTTGTTATAATACTTTCAAATTAACTAGGTCATCTACATTTTCTGTAACCCAAGAACCTGTTTAACGGATTAGTGGATGATCACGTCGAGACGGCGTATGGGAGGCGCATGTAACGATAGGGTGTGATAAGTGATGCACTGAAAGTTTGACAAACATATTTAACGAAATGCGTTCCTGTACACATCTTTGTTTTTTGTTGTTGTTTTCTTTTGGGGGGGGGGGTCACTTTGCTGGTGCTGTGACCTCCCGTATCTATTCTCTTTTACTTTTACTTTATGCTTTTCCTTTTTTTCATTTCTCGTGACAATAAACTTATGTTGATTTTCAATGGCAGATCGCAAGCTCTGGGCCAAATCGCTAATGAAGTGCACAGATCCGAGCGGGATTGCTCTCGCCAAATCTGCGATTGGAACGCTTGCGTCTCCACGGGGGCTGTTGGTGAGCGGAAATCTAGCGAGGGAGCAAGATAGGGTTTGAGGAAGCGCAAAGCGTTTTCCGGACATCCATCGGTGATTGGATGAAAGGCGGGTGCATATAATACGTCACTTGAACATCCATCAGTGATTGGATGAAAGGCGCGGCCGCACAAGATACGTCATTTGAGCTTTCCTTCAAATGCGCCCATTTCGGCGGAGCATGAATTCTTGCTTGCACGGAGCAATCCATGATCTGTGGTTGCCTAATCTGCCATTCGAACACACAATTCACGCTCCCAATTCGCCATTGGAATGTAAATGCTCCGCTCAGAGCAGAAACACTTGATCTGAATCTGCCATTGGAAGCCAACATTACTTTTTAGTCAGCGCTGTATATGTGTGCTTCTTCAAAAGTTTTGTCTGGTCAAGGCACGCTGTTTCTGTTCTTTGACAGTAGCTCCCGTCGCCCGCCCTTGTTAAGCGTCATTGACCTGAATTTCACTTGACTAAGTACTGAAGGCTAGTCTGCCTGATAAAGGTGCGAGAAGGGGGGGGGGGGGTTGTTGAAACAGCAGGTTTTGTCGCTCCTGCCAGCATAATTCTTCAGGAAGGGGCAGTGGTGTGAACGTGTGTGGCCTACAGTCAATATCATGTGCGAGACGAATACGCGGCAAGATTTTGGCACTGTTTACAGCCGAGATCACTGCCGCTAGCAAACAGCGGCCCCATGCTTTCATTAATCTATATAATACTCGCTCGCTTTATGTGCCGTTGCATGTTCACTGCGTGTTCTCCGGGACCACCTGGACAATGAGATTTTTGTTCTCTTTCTCGCACCCTGGCTAGTGACCATCCCTTTTACAGCGATAGCTGTTAATGACTTGGAGAAACTAAAAACCCTTCGGCAGCGCTGTCATGAGCGATCTCCATTGGCTATGGTATGACTCATAAATTCTTCTCGTGTAATTTGTAAATCACTGTACAGCTCTTTCAAAACACTTACTTCTTCCGTTTTGGAAACTCTATCCGCTATCTTGGCGATCCAAGGTGGCTTCAACAGGACATAAATGATAGATATTACGAGCGGTCGTTTCATCCCTTCAGTTGGCTCTTCTGCAGATCCATCGCGTCATTGCAGGTGGAAATGCCCGACACCCGAGTATTTAGATTTAGTCGCACGTGCAACAAACCCATTGGGATCACAATCACCGCAGCACTTTATCGCGGCGTCTTTCATAAATATATCGTTATTTTGGGACTTTGAAACTCTGAAATTATATCCGAATCACTATATCTTCAGTTTACCCTGCTTTTCTGCTGCTTCATTCAAGGACTTCTTTTTCTTTCTGATCCTAAGCGGACGCTGGTTCATGTACACCGCCGCTGTTCGAAGATCTAGTCCAGCGAACGTATTAATGTCATTTGCTGATGTTGGAGTTACGCAGTGCGACATGTTTCGCATCGCATGTTTTTTTCTTCTGATAGCAAAAGTTGCATTGGGCCTCATCTTGGGCCAGGCAGTGCGTTACCAACTTCATGTTCTTTGTCCCCTTTTGAAAAGGCGTAGTAAAAACAAACACGTGGTTGAGCATTCATATTTTATTATTATTAGGGCCCTATTGTATTCCGTATGAAAACTACACTTGTTCGCTGTGGTACAAGAACGACTCAAAAAGGATTTGTGGATATTTTATTGGGGTTATGACGTTGACGCGCGCAGAACTGAAAGCGGTAAATATTCAAGAATCTATTGAGAAAATATACGCCCAATGAGATTGGTAACACTCGGCAACGACGATTGCGAGAGAAATCGTCGGCCACACTATAATATGGTAAACGCTGGAAAACAACGTCACTTATACATGTGTGATCATATACACTACAGTGGTCGGTGGTGCTCGTGTCAAATCAAGAATGAAGTGCATTACACGGCTCGTGCGCACGATATAGTGAAATAATGATAACTGTTGAAATTCGGCCTCCCAAAACTATGATATAATCACGAGGGGCTTCAAAAGTTTCGATCACAAGTGTTAGTGCTTCCGCGGTTCTTTCTCTCAACTGATGTACACTGAAAATGTCATGGAACGACATGAGTGTATGACCAAAATAAATGATACGTCATGACATAGACTTTACGTAATGTGTACTATAAAGACTAGGATGTGGTCTTGGTCCTACTACTTCCCTTTTCGTCCATTCTAAACTCGCCAAATTATCATCGTATCACAAAAGGCTATGACAAAGCTAATGACGTGTCATGACATTAACACTGTAATGTGCTAGAGACATCACGCTCGATGTCCCTAGCGTGTGTGTTGAGGGACCGGCTGTTAAGCGGTCACCAGCAGCGTTGATCACTGGTTGCGTTAGTCAGGTAGACGCTTTAAATATTGGCACACGTGCTCAAGGCGACGGATACAATTTATGTGGGAGCCACTCACAATCTCCCATCTGCTCGTACTCACGCGCGGTTCCCTTTAGCGGGGGAGATGGTGTAGTTTTGTTCTTAGAAGCTTTGCAAGAACACGAAAAAAATCAAGTAACATATTTCAGCTAACAGTTCATTGTACCATGTGCTTTTGCAGATACAAAGCTTTCATTTTTATGCCACAGCAAGAGTTGTAGCATCTTGGTCATCCGGAGCCCAGTACTTGTCCTTGCGCGTGGTATAGTCGCACCCCATGAGGGTGGCCTTTTCTACTTCCACTATATATTTGGCCTCACAGCTGCCTTTCGCAACCTGAAAGGCAAAACATTTTTAGGTGATTGTGAAGCAAAAATCAAATTGGTGCCTACGACTCACGTGAAGTTTTTTATCAGAAGCGAGGCCCCTCATCTTTTGCCACAGCCGAACAAGCGCAGAATTGCACAATGTTTCATCCTTCCTGCAATTCGTTTCGCCTGCAACCCAAAGCAAGAACAAACAGACATATGTATAACGCAATGCCTTTTTCTTCATTTCGCGAATACATGGTCTGAAGTAGCAACAATGCGAGCTGTTTCGCTTGTCTTTTTTTTGTAGATCTTTTTGTTTAACAATAATGAGGATCGAGAAAAATTTGTACGCCTGATCTGATGACTTTTGAGTTGGGAGTCACTTCTCCACATTGCTGATCAAAAATACAGCACGGTGTTACGATTTACAGAACCTGGCCAGTTTCACTGGCCAGCTTTTTTTCAAGCGATGCTATGTGTCTTTATAAATATTTAGTAAAGTGAAGGCCCTAACGACAAAACAAACGAGCAGCTCAAACTTCATTTCGATTATGAAAATTACACCAGCTTCTCTTTTAAAATCAAACAAGCCTCTAGTGTTAGAGCAATTATGTCTAAAAATTGGTTTTTCTTCATCGAACAATGGAGGCAATTGTGTGCTGCATAGTGTTTTGGCGCTACACATCACAGTATGCCATGGGGCGTCGTATGTACACATCACAGTATGCCATGGAGCGTCGCAAGCAATAATATGACGTAAACAAAAAGACCATACGGGTAAATAAAACTCTTTTTTTCTGCTCTTTTGGCATCTTCACACTGTTTTAAGAAGTCTATTTTGCCAGGTGATTTTTCATAAAGCATCTACGGATTTCATTCTTCTTTGTGTTAAGCAATGGGCTATGGAAGTCGTGAAAGTTATGTGAACATTTAGGTGCTTGCACTGGTTTCTTGATGAACTAAAATTGAGGCAGCGAGAAGAGATCATTAACATTTAGTTTTAATGGCACCAAGACTCAACACAACTTGTCGGTGCCAAGTACAGTCGGCATGCAGGTAAATACAACGTTAGAGGAAAGGAACTCTGAGGATATGAACAGATTTTATTGTTACATATCAAGATGCCGACGAACTGATGTGGAAGAGGCAAGTACTCAAAATGTATACCAAGACTTAGGTTAATGTTACCAACCACAGACTCGACGTACCTGACGATTCTCCGCATACGTTTTCCCAGCCAAACGTTCACCTTATCAGTGAGAGCCTACATCGCGAGACGAGAACATATCATGTGTCTGGGTGTGCCCAGCTTGGTCGCTAACACTTTCGTGGTATGCTATACTGTCATCAATATCCACATTGACAGTGTCGGCAAGATTGGCGGTTCAACAAAAAGGATCAGTATTTGAGGTTGTGGAGCACAAAACACTGCCCTCATAGCACGGCCGATAAAGACGGCCTCACAGACAAGAAAGCCCGAAGAAGTAAGTGCGTATATGACATGCATTGTGACGAACTATGCTCAAGACGTATGAAAGCATGATTTGTGGTTTTAGCGGGCAGTTTACAAAGAACTAAAATAGAACTACCACATTAGTACGTGTTGTGCAAAAAGAGACATATTTGTATCGAGGACGTAGTTGGTGCAGTTAGCGTTGTTTTTAGCGTGCATTCGGAACTCTGCCAACGACAGAAACAAATACAAAAGCGCTGATAAATACCCTAGAAGTAAGGGTTTCTATAATTAACATTCACAAGAAAATATCAATTACTGGAAATTAATGACACATTTGCAGCTACACTGATTCTCATAAACGTGCAAGGATTCTATTGTTTCTCCTCGGCACTCCCTCAAGCCGTTTTTTAAGTGTGCTGTCCGTTTAAAAGTGGTCTAGAAAGTCTTGTGAAAAAGATATAATTACATCACGTACATTTGGGTACACAATGTGCAATACGCCAACAATTATTCTCACCTGTGACAGCGCTAATGATTACTGCGAGCACAATAGTTCCGATGAAAGCAAAGAAGCTGCTCCAGAAGAACGACAGGCGAAACATGAAGAAAGGTTCCTGTGTTCTGCACAGAGATTGAAAAAATAGCAACTTTATTACTTTCTCAGTCATCTGAGCTTTGCAATTTCGCACAGCTGGTACATCAGAGAAGCCATTTATTGTGTCCACAAAAAAACCCAGTTCTTGTGAGCGTCATATCCTTGTCTTTTTATCTTGTCCTTGTCTCCTTAACAAGCGTCACATCTGTGTCACATTCTTATTTTTTTGCGAGCGTCACACTCAGTTGCGCTGTCGGCGCGAGAACATTTTGTATTTTTAGTAAAACTTTCAAATGTAAAAGTCTTGCAGCTTCTGCTTGTCTTTTTATGAAGATGTATCAGAATCGTAAAAATTTACCGTCATTTAAGTAGTAGTGTAAAATTCTTATTATCTAAGAACGCACAACAAATATGCATAAGCGTCACTTTGATTTGACAAGCTGCAAAAATTGAAATATCTTTAGCACTGGCATACCCTGTAACGACAAAATAGAACATGCTTTTCTATGCAACGACGTAGAGTTCAGTGTTCTTTGATAAAAGCAGACCCCTCCCCCTCTTCCCGTGAAAAGACAGCCATCATTCATTGCCACACCTGGTCAAAATTTTTAACCTCTCCAGGTGACAGGACACCTGCGATAACAGCTGCGTCATTTCATCAGAGCAAACGTTAATTTAGGAGAATTCGTGACCCTTTAGTGTTCGTATTACATTTTGGTTGCGCGACATATTAGCCAAAGTGATAAAATTTTGGCGCCCAGCACTGTGCATCTTCTAAGGTAAAATATACAAAAAATTGCCTTAACTCCTGTGTATTTATACATATTTGGAAGGTCCAGACCAATATCTAGAACAATGCCACAAACCAGTACCAGCTTGTCCGATACCCTAACTATAGGTATTATGAAAAAAACATGAGATCAAAGTAAAATATGACAACCACAATCCTGGATTGTACAGTCACATTTTCGCCATATATGTCAAAAATCATGGGCACGATCGAAATCATCTCATCTGTGTGTTATACTGTCTGGTATCGCTAGAAAACAGCTATACCAGACACTTTTGTGTTGGATACTTCCGCTTCAATGTTTCCGTTTTCTCCCGTGTTTGCACATCTGATGAACCTCCACTGGGGGGGGGGGGGGGTCAAGCTAGGGAGCTAAAACTTACCCAGGAGTACCTCGATGTAATTCATGATGGGAATATAACTCAGAGGCACGTGGTTGTCTAGATATTGTTTATCGTCAACACGGCCAATGCGAGTATAACTGTGGTTGTTGACGAAGCATGGAGACCATCCACTGGGAGACTTTATTAACACACGACCTAATGCTGCATACTCGGAAGCTGTTATGTCGCACCGAGATATGCTGCCTTCGAATTATGTACGACGTTTGGCATCTCAAATACCTCTTTGTGGATGGTACCTAAGCCGGTCATGTGAATTTCGATCCTTTCAAAACACCAAGTCAAAAACACCAACTGCTGGACCTCAGTATTTTGCTTTGTCTTATATTGCCAATATGTACGTATATACAGTGCGTATTTTCCTGATGGTTTTGTCACACAGACCTCCTTAGCAACAGCTTTCACTGTACTTCACATGGTAATTACCAAAGCTTTCAATAAAGCGCACGGGGCATTGTCTACTGCCGCTGAGCTGACCAGTGTTAGATAGGCTATCTACTACATGTTGCAGCCTAGTGCAGTGATGGACACTCTTTTGCGACGTCAAGCCACAACTACAGTCAATCAGAAACTTTACGAAGCAAGAAACGGATGTGCAACATAATGAATAAGTTAAACGAAGCACCTCAATCAAGTCATCCCTTGCTTTACAACATATTCTCAGTCACTGTTGCATAGCCAAAAATGAACAAGCTGACGCAAAAGCGAAGATGGCACACACTAGCGGAGAAGACATATCAAATCACTTTTCCCGACATGTCATCAACTCAACGCATGGCTCTTTAAAGCTATGAAAACAACTAGGACACAATTATAAAATGATCCTGGTAGTCGCCACGAGCAAATTTTTACGCTTGACTCTGGTCGTACTTTTCGTCTTCCATGCCATCTAAGGAGAGACCAGGAAACGATACTACATATACTGTGGCTGGGTTTTGCAGATATGCAACAATACCTTTCCAAGATTCGACAGTAGCAAAATCGTAACTGAAGTGAGTGTGACACGTCAGAGAACATTCATCTCATTCTGTGTGTGTCTTCAATACGAGGTGGAAACAGTATCAGTAAAGCGCCTCACAAATCTACTAGACTATTGACCCTTTCCAAGGAGAAGCTATTGGGTGCTTTGGAACAGGTGAATCGCTCCTAACGAAGATGAAAGGGCGTTCTCACATCACACAGCAAGACAAGATTAAATTCCCGTCTTCAGAGCTCGTGCAAGTGTAGATATTGTAGAGACTGTTATCCGTGTCCTACCCCACACGCGACAGTGAAGGCAGTGACTCACTTTGCAATACAACAGCCACCCCACATCATGCCCTCCTCTTTTTTCTTTCTTTCCCTTTACATCTTACCCCCGCGAAGAGTAGCAGGCTCTATAAACCCGCTTTCTGTGGCTACCTCTTCTGCTTCTTCTCATTAAACATCTCCTTCTTCTAATGCAGTTGCGCATAGTTGAAACTAAATTTGAACGCCTTGCTGTACACAGGGGGCACGTTCTGATAACTTATACGGGACCAAAAAAATTACTCGGCGTTGTTTTCTCTTTTAATACCCTTATGCTTTTGTTATGGCAATCTCAATCTACTTGGCATATTGTCTTTTATAGTTGCATGGCGGTTTCGGGACGTTATAACCGACGAATTATTCTACAAGGTATGTTCTCAATTCGGAAAAAAAACACGTCGGGGGTACTAATTGGCTTGCATTATTATACAGCTGATTCGTGAACAAAGAAAATTACTCTGGTTTCTTTCCACCCGATACACCTTGCATTCTTAATAACTTGGAGAATGCTACTAATCAGCTAAGTTCTAATACGAAAAATGGCCGCACTGTTGCTGCAAAGTTCCACACATCCTACATACCACGGGAATCGACGTAGGGCGAAGCACGCTGAAAGAAGATAACTGTGGTGTTTTTTTTTATCGGATGAGGCATTACGAAATGACATTGAACATATGTGCAGCACATCTTAAGCAGAGACTAATGTGTAATAGTTACACATGTTTTACATAACCCGATGTTTCCAGCTGCGTAATGATGGCAACGGTAACATATGTACTACCAGCACCACAAGCGGTAAACTCATATGCTGCACTTGTGATTGCAAGCGTGGTAACCCTATATAATTCTACGTAGACCGACTTCAGTGGTTGGCACTTACGAATACATTTGACGTTTACTCAACGTAACGGCTGCATTATAGGAATGCACATGTACTGTTCACAGAATTGAATAGCCAGCAATGCAACCACAAAGGACGTGTCACCAGCACTTCAGATGTAAAGGGACATTCTTGAAAGTAGTATCGAGACCTGGCGTGGCTCTATAGTAGAACATTTACTTTCCACGCAAGCTGCTTGTGTTTGATACGTGCTAACACCCTTGTATTTATTTTTTGCCCTCACCTAATCAACACTGCCAATGCATGTTTTCTTTAACGTTCTTTAGATTAAATTAGCAACGTCTGTTTACTCCGTTCATGGGTAGACAAAGTCTTAATCAACTGTAGCTCTTCCTCACATACCTCAGCCCCAGGTAGGCAATGGGTGTGCCATGTGTATCTGTAGGACAGGGTTGGACGGCTGCGTAGCAGAAATTTCACGTTACTCCTGCGTTGACGGGTCAGACGTATTCGTCAACTATTTTGCCCTTCCTTAATAATTTCGATATTTCCTGAATAAATTGGTGGACACGAGAGCACCCAGAAGTAGGTGAATAAATAGATAGATATGTAAATAGCAACTCGAGAAAAGCCTGCAGTCGGCTAAAAATGACTCACATTCTAAATATCGATGAGGGTAGTCCGTGTACTATACTCACTGTAAGTTTGGTGCAGCCAAAGTAACGTTTTGAAATAAAAACATGCTGTGGTTTCCAGGGCAGTAGTCAGTAGACACTGGAAGTCTGGGTGATCTGATTCCTGATGTGATAACTCCCGCCATGTGCCACAGCTGGTACACAACCATTAGTAGGGTCGATACGCCGGCGCCCTGCCGTTCGGTGACAACATAGAGAAGAAGAAGTTATGTCTTCACGTTGAAGCAGGGCGGCGACATTGATATATATATATATATATCGAGAGATCACGTCACAGTCACAAACATACTTTATATAGTTACCTTTACTAGCATTATTTCAGTGCGAGCATCGCTGGGGCTCTGATGAAGAGCAACTCTCATGGTAGCGAAAATATCTGCATTGATCATTGAAAGCCTTTCTACAATGCTGCTGTTTTCAAAGCGCTTTGACCCAACTGGCTAGCTTCCTGTCGTTGTAAGGGAAGTTTAATGTGGAGTACATTATTTTTTGCTGCCTTGCTTTATTAGGCTTACCTTTTCATAATAATCAAATAATGTCACTTATTGAGGAAGTGCTGCCATGTTAATATGCAGCAGAAGGTATTCCTGGTGATTTGGTTTATTGAACCACCTCTGCATGATAGTATGTAGAATGCTCCCATAGTGACATGCATAAAGACAACTAGTCTAATTGCTGGAACATTTCTATAACAGGCAACAGTGCGGCTACAAACGAAGACGAAGCAAAAAATGCGCAACACATCATATGAGTGCTGCAGAGTTTCGTGTGATGCTTATCACAAATTTGTACCGCATTGTTCTGTAAGCAGAATAACATATATACCACATACGGGCAAATAATCACATTAAGCAAGTCCCCATAATGGCTGTGACCTTGAAACCCAGCCACGCGTTTTCAGATTCATATGGCGTGGGACGAGCTTCAATGCAGAGCGATAATGCGCTGCTAATCGACCAACATCACAGGTATAATTTATTGCAATATCATCTGGACAAAGCCCTCACGTGGAAATGTGCTTCCATAGTGTTATCTCTGCATACTACTGAACACAATGTGTCCCACTACAGATATCAATGCTTCATTACGATTCCACGGTATTCGGTCCATCATCATATAAGACTGGTGACAAACTTAAAGTAATTAACTACAGACCAGTTTCGCTACTGTGCACTTGTAGCAAGGTTTTGGATTATTTCATATTTAAGCGTATTTGTTCTATCTTAGAGGACAACAATTATTTTTTAAGTAGTCAGCATGGTTTTCGGCGCGGTTTGTCCACTACGACGCAACTTATTCACACTGTAAATGATCTAATGGTAATGATTGACAAGGGCGGACAGATTGACATGGTTTTTCTTGATTTCGAAAAAGCCTTCGACTGTGTGTCAAACCGACATTTAATGTTAAAGATCTGATGCCTTTTTGACAATCCTCGGATAGTACGGTGGCTCGACTCGTATCCTACACGGCGTAGGCAGTTCGTTCACATAGGCAATTCGGACTCAGAATTCGCATCTGTTCTTTCAGGCGTTCCTCAGGGTTCGGTGCTCGGCCCGTTACTCTTTTTAATCTATATTAATGATTCACAGATTACGTCACCAGTATGTTGCCGTTTATTTGCAGACGACTGCGTTGCATACATGCAAATTCAGTCAGTGAAAAATCAACAAATACTAAACAACTTCTTAGCAGCTGTTAGCAACTGGTGCTCAACATGGCAGATGCGCCTAAACGTTTCCAAGGGTGTTCAGATGAGTGTTACACGCAAAAAAGTGCCGCTGGTTTGCACATATAACATCAATAGTGTTGCATTAGCTTAAGTAGACCAACTTAAATACTTGTGTTTGCATATCAGTTCTACGCTAAGCTGGAGTGGTCATGTGCAATTCATTGTTTCCAAGGCTTTGAGAAAACTTTACATGCTAAGAAATCGCATGATGGATTGCACTCCTAAAACTAAGCTTGTGGCCTACACAACATTAGTTAGACCGCTATTAGAGTATGCGGACGTAGTTTGGGACCCGCACGCCAAATGTGACATCGATTGCATTGAACGCGTTAAAAAAAAAGCGCTAAGATTCATCTTCAACTCTTACGGCAGGCACGTGTCCATTACTAACCTTAGACATTTAAGCGAACTTCCAACGCTAGAATCACACAGGAAACTGCATCGACTGCAAATGCTTTACAATATTGTAAACGGTTACATTATAATGAGCTTCACTGATTACATGCAGTATAACAGCGCAAGGCCAACAAGATGGAAGCAGAGTAAGACGATTGTAAGGCCACGAGTTAAAACGAAGGTGTATCAATTTTCGTTTTTACTTGAACGATAGCAGAATGGAACGAGCTTCCATGTGACATAGTCGGCCTATCATCAGTTCATGCGTTCACAAATGCCGTGCAAGATTATTTCTGATGTTATGCGCAGTTCTTGTCATTCTTTCTCTTTTACAGCTTGAAATGTATGCGGGTAACCATTTATTTTGCGGTATTCTTCTGTTGACGTAGCTGTCCTTCAGTTGACATGCCTATTTGTTTCGTTGGCCGTTTCATTCATGTTCTGAAATGTTGCATGCGTCTTTCGGGTGTTCAATCACTCGATCCTGGACTTGTTATTGCTCCTGTGTCCTGCCTCAATGTATTATTGCAAATGCTGTTGGGCTTGTTTTTTATGTTCGCGTCTTGAGTTCACATTCGGCCGCATATGTTGTTATCATTAGACATATGTGCGTTTCTTCTGTTTTTCTTTCTTTTTTTATTTCGTTTGGTGACTGAAACGATGCAATGTGTAACATTGTAATGTGATGTACCAACTCCTGCCATGGCTTCGAAAAGGCAGCCGCAGTATCTGATAAATAAAAATAAATAAATAAATAAATCAGACTAACGAGGCCACTGCAGGACAAAGGCTTTTCCAACAATCCGCCAATCAACCCGGCCTTGTGCTTTCTTCTGCATGTTAAACCTGAGAACTTTTTAATCTCACTGGTGCACCTAACCTTATCTTCCCCCTTCATGCGTTTGCCCTCTCTGGGAATCCAGTCAGATGCCCTTATTGACCAGTGGTTATCCTGCTACGTGCCCTGCTAATGTTTATTTCTTCGTCCTGATTTCAACTCATCATCGTCATCCTCATCAGCAGCATGACTACGTCCACTGCAGGACAAAAGCCTGTCCCATGCAGGACAAAGGCCAATCAACTCGGTCCTGTGCTTCCTGCTGCCCATTTATGACCGCAAACTTCTTAATCTCATCAGCCCACCTAACCTTCTGTCTCCCCCTAACCCACTTGCCTTCTGTGGGAATCTAGTTAGCTTGCACTTAATGACCAGCGGTGATTCTTTTTAAGCGCTACATCCCCACCCCATGTCCATTTCCTCCTCTTTATTTCAACTATTATATCCTCAACCACCATTCGTTCCCTAACCTCCTCTGCTCTTTTTTGTCTCTTATGGTTACACCTACCATTTTCCTTTCTATTGCTCGCTGCGTCGTCCTCAATTTAAGCTGAACCCTCTTTATGAGTCTCCAGATTTTTGCTCCGTAGCTAAGTACCCGCAAAATGAAGCTCTTATATACCTCTTTTTCTTTAGGGATAGTGGCAGTCTAACTGTCATGATTTGAGAGTGCTTTCCAAGTGTGCTCCACCCTATTTTTATTTTTCTAGTTACTTCAATCTTGCGTTTCAACTCCGAAGTTATTACCTGTCATGAGTAGACATAGTCTTTTACAAATTCAAGTGCGCTATTACATATCTCGAAGCGCTGCTCTCTTCCGAGGTCGTGGCACATTATCTTCGTTTTCTGCAGATTATTTCTGAGACTTTTCTGCTCTCCTTGTCTAACACCGAAATCGCGAGTTGCAATTCATCCCCCGAGTTACTCAGCAATGAAATGTCATCGGTGAAGCGCAGGTTACTAAGGTACTTTCCATTAACTCTTATTAGTAACTGTTCCCAGTCTAGGCCTCGTAAAACCTCCTGCAAGCACACGGTAAATAGCATTGGGGAGATTGTACCCCCCTGCTTTAAACCTTTTTTGATTGGTATTCTGTTGCTTTCTTTAGGAAGCACTATGGTAGCACTTGATCCCCCGTAGATTTCTTCCAGGATGTTTATATATGCTTCATCGTTCTGATTCTGTGGCGCTTGCATGACTGCGGGTATTCCTACCATATCAAACGCCTTCTCGTAATCTATGAAGGCTAAGTATAATGGTTAGCTGTATTTTGAGCATTTCTGTATCACCTGATTGATAGTATGAATGTTGCAGATTGTTGAGTAGCCTGTTCGAAATTCTGCTTCTTCCTTTGGGTAATTGAATTATAATGCTTTCTAATAATGAATTCTAATACTCTGTTAGCAATTGCCTTTCTAAATAACTTGTATACTACGGAGAGTAAGCTGATTGGCCTGTAATTCTTTACGTCCTTGTCATCACCTTTCTTATGCATTAAGACGATTTTATCATTCTTCCCAAGATTCTGGTACTCTTCCTGTCAGGAGACACATTGTAAACAGGGTGGCTAGTTTTTCCAACACATTCTGTCCTCCATCTTTCAGCAGATCTTGTGTTACCTTGTCCTCATCAGCAGCTTTACCTATTTGCATGCTCTCCAAGGCTTTTTTTAATTCTTCTACCATTACTGGTGGAGTGTATTCTGGGTTACTGCTAGTTCCTATAGTATTAGGTCGTAGTTGTCCCGGCTGCTATACGGATCTCTGTAAAACTTCTCTGCTATTTTAACTATGCTATCCAAATTGGTAGTCCCTTTGCCTACCTTGTTTAGTGCATACATGGTGTTTGCCTATCCCATGTTTCTTCTTCACCGATTTCACGATTCCTTCGTGCATCGGATACTTTCTTACATCGGAAAACTTACGCTTATTAATCAGCTCCGAAATCTCTGCCAATTCAATTTTGTCTGTTGTATTTGATGCTTTCATTCTTTGACACTTCTTAATGAGGCTCTCTGGCTACTGGGACAGCTTACCAGTGTCCCGTCTAACTACAGTACCTCCAAATTTCACTGCACACTCCGTAATAATACTCGTCATTATCATTCATTCCGTCAACGTTAACGCTGGTTTCCTCAATAAGAGCCGAGTACCTGTTCTGAAGCGAGTCTCTGAATTCCCGTACTTTCCCGCTCAGCGCTAGCTGTT